CTCAACCAACTGAGCCATCCAGATGCTCCTGTTTAACTTTATTAGATATTTGAGAAACAGTTTCTAAAGTAGTTGTATCATTTTATACTCTTCTCTAACAATGTATGAGAGTACCAGTTGCTCCACATTCTTGCCACACTTGGTACGTTCAGTCTTTCAAACTTTGTTGAGTATGTAATAATATCACATTAGTTTTTTTTTTTAAGATTTATTTATTTGAGGTGGGGGAGGGGCAGAGGGAGAGGAATAGTGGGTCCCAAGAAGACTTGGTGCTGACGGCAGAGCCCGACATTGGGCTTGATCTCATGACCCTGAAATCATGACCTGAGCCGAAACCAAGAGTTGGACGCTTAACCAACTGTGCCACCCAGGCACCCCAATATCACATTAGTTTTAATTTGCATTTCCCTTATGAATAATGTTGAAAACCTATTTTTATGGCCATTTGCGTACCTTATTTTGTGAAATAACTATTTACGTCTTTTGTACATATTTTTCAGTTGTTTGATCTTTCTTACTGATTTTTAGGAATTCTATATATATTCTAGATATGAGACTTTTATTAGATAAATGTATTATTGCAAGTAGCTTTTCCATATTCTTAATGCTGTCAGCATATTAGCAGATATTTAAATTTTTTTAAATGAAATTCAACTGAGCAACTGTTCTTTATTATGGTTCATGCTTTTTGCAATCCTCCTAAGGTCATAGAGACATCTCTCTCTCTCTTTTTTTTTCATAGAGACAGCTCTTATGTTGTTTTCCAAAAGTTTACAGTTTTAGCCCTCACATTTAGGTCTTTGATCCAACTCAAATCAGGTTTCATGTATGGTGTGGGGCATAGCAATCATGGCTCATGTATTTCCATATGGTTATCTGGTTGCTCCAGCACCATTTATTGAAAGATCTTCCTTTCTATGGGGCTCCTGGGTGGCTCAGTCGGTTAAATGTCTGCCTTCGGCTCAGGTCATGGTCCCAGGGTCCTGGGATCGAGTCCCACATCAGGCTCCCTGCTCAGTGGGGAGTCTGCTTCTCCCTCTGTCTCTGCCTCTCCCCTGCTTGTGCTCTCTCTCACTCTATCTCAAATAAATAAAATCTTTTAAAAAAAAGAAAGGTCTTTTTTTCCCCTCATTGAATTACATTAGTCTTTTGAAAAACCCTTTTAAAAATTCTAGGTTTAAAAGAATCAATTGTACAACTTCAGGATGGGCAAGACCAGTATAATAGCAGCATACTGGATAATGTGGTTGACTTTGAGACATAGAAGCACTTCCTCCTTAGCAACAGAACCTATAAATTTTAGCTAACACATATGCTAATATCATTTGAAGTTTATTGTGGCCATGTCATTAAATTCTGGTCAAAGAAATATAAAAGCACAGCTGAATGTGCAACTTTCATGAAGTCTTTCAAGGTAAGTGACAAATTCTCTCTTTTTTGCTAGATGGAATACAAATGTGATGGTTGGGGCTGGAGAGAAAACAGAATTTTCTATTTTTATAAATTAGGGAAATTTTTTAAGATATAGAAAAAAGTACACAGACAAACACACCCATGTAACCACCACTCAGATTTAACGTATTTGTTTTATCATATTTGCTTCAGATTTCTCCTTTTTAAAATTTTTTTATTATTATGTTATGTTAATCACCATACATTACATCATTAGTTTTTGATGTAGTGTTCCATGATTCATTGTTTGCGTATAACACCCAGTGCTCCATGCAGAACGTGCCCTCTTTAATACCCATCACCAGGCTAACCCCTCCCCTCTAGAACCCTCAGTTTGTTTCTCAGAGTCCATAGTCTCTCATGGTTCGTCTTCCCTCTTTTTTTAAAGAAATAAAAATATAGATACAGTGAAGAGTTTAGGGCCCCTGTGTAGCCAGCCCTTTCCAAATTCAATCTTTTTCCTCCCTCCCCAGATGCAACCCTACTCTGAAGTTTGTGTATGTCTTACCTTTCAGAGACAACTTTAAGAATTCACTGGTTCTGCCTCCTCTGAGTGTCCTTAGTTCAGCTGTGGTCTGTGCACTACTGGCTTAGGGATCACCTGGGGCACTTGGAAAATACAGAGATCCCAGGTTCCCAACTCTTGAGATCCTGTTTCAGAAAGTCCAGGGCAGGCCTGGTCACCTTCATCTTATTATAATTTTTGCACTTACATTTAAAAAAGCATGCCAGGTACAAATCAAAACCACAATGAGATAGTATTTCATATCCACTAGAATAAAAAATACATACAATAACAAACTGGTGAGGATATGGACAAATTAGAACCCTTATACACTTCTGGTGGGAATATAAAATGGTACAGCCATTTGGAAAACATTTTGGCAGTTCTTCAAAAAATAAAACACAAAGGTACCATATGACCTGGCAATTCCACTCCTGGTTATTCACCCAAGAGAAATGAAGGCACAAAACCTTATAAGGAATGTTCACAGCAGCATTATTCATATGCACAAAGCACCCACTCTCCTTGTATGCATTCTTCTACACCAGGTGACCTTTCTAAGAAGTTTCTCTGATATAAGTAAACAGAATTGATTACTCTTCATATAACTTCTTCAGGATGGAGGACTGAACTTAGCATGGACTTTGGAGTGAGACTTGGAATCCAATCCAATTTATGTTGTTTGCCAGCTATGAAGACAAATGGGAAAAATACCTATCCTGCATAGTTTCTTTCCCAGTCTGCTCTTAAAATACCAAAAACCATAAAATCTTGTTATAATTTGCTAAATCAGATTCAGTCTCAGATAGAGATATCCCAAACTTAAAGAAGCAAAAGACTTGGGACGCCTGGGTGGCAAAGTCGGTTAATCATCTGACTCTTGATTTCAGCTCAGGTCATGATCTCAGAGTCGTGAGATCAAGCCCCACATTAGGGTCCACGATGGGCCTGAAGCCTCTCTCTCCCTCCCCCTTTATCCCTCCCCCTCCACTGCCCCGCCCCACTCACTCTCTTTCTAAAAAAAAGCAAAAGACTTAGTCTAAATTGTCTCATTTAAATCTTTGATATAAAGCCAATTAATAGATCACTTTATTCTTTGTAGACAAAGACTACGTTTATTCATTTATTACTTTGATAACAGTAAAGAGAACATTATAGCTAAAATGTTTGCTTCCTGATTAAGTGTTTTTTTATTTATGGTAATTAAAAAAGATACACGGGCACTTAAATCCATAGCTATAATTCTTAAACTCTAGAGCTTATTTTTTTTTTAAAGATTTTATTTATTTATTGGAGAGAGAGAATGAGGGAGAGAGAGAGAGAGAAAGCGCATGAGAGGGGGGAGGGTCAGAGGGAGAAGCAGACTCCCCGCTGAGCAGAGAGTCCGACGTGGGACTCGATCCCGGGACTCCAGGATCATGACCTGAGCCGAAGGCAGTCGCTTAACCAACTGAGCCACCCAGGTGCCCAAACTCTAGAGCTTATTTGTTTTTGTTTTTTTTGTTTTTTTTAAATACTTATTTTTTTTAAAGATTTTATTTATTTATTTGAGAGAGAGAATGAGAGATAGAGAGCACGAGAGGGAAGAGGGTCAGAGGGAGAAGCCGACTCCCTGCTGAGCAGGGAGCCCGATGTGGGACTCGATCCCATGACTACAGGATCATGACCTGAGCCGAAGGCAGTCGCTTAACCAACTGAGCCACCCAGGCACCCTATTTGTTTTTGTTTTATTATAAAATGCTTAACTATACAAAGAAGTACAGAGAATGAGATCACAAATACTCAACTGCTCAGTTTTATGATAATTTTTTCTATGCTTGCCAGATTTCACTTAAAAAATAAACATTCCAAGCCTATAGCTGCAGAATCTCTACAACTAGTAAGCCAACACCAACTCGTTTAGAGTATCAACCTAAATTATACTAAATGTAAAGTGAGAAATAGCTGTGGAGTTGAAATTAAAAATTCTGATCCATCCTTGGTAAGAAATATAGCAGAAGATTATATCAGCATTGACTGGAGACTGTCCCAGGAGTCTTGGCTCTTGCCTCCTGTTTCATATGTCCTTTCGTGGGATCTATTCCTTGTCTGTGGTCCCTGCCACCTGACTCGGAGAACTCAAGACCTAATGGAAATCAGGCCACAGGCTGGGTTGGGCCAATCAGATTCTCTTTCTTTATAGAGAATTTGAGTGTCGAGATGCAGATATTCTAGTGTGTCCTCTACATTAACACTAGCTGTTATGAGAGCAAATCATAAAGTAAAATGCACATCTCACCACCATGCTTTAGAAACCTATTGCCTGTTTTTGAAACTCCTTAGCCTAAGATAATCTTAGATAATGGTCTCCGTCATTCCCTCCTCTTCAGCTGGAACCCAACACTCTAATCACTATTAAAGATGACCTCAAATTTTCTCCTTGTCCTCCCGCTGAGAGGTGGAATCTGTTTCTCCTCCCCTTGAATCTGGGGTAGCCCTGGGACTGGCTTTAATTCACCAGAAGGTGGGGCAAGGAAAGCTGTTTGACGTCTAAGGCTGCAGCTTCTGCATGCTTGCAGTACTCCCTCTTGGATCCCAGTCGCCATGCTGTGAGAAACATTCCAAGCCATGTACAGAGGTCATATGGAGGAGATCCTTGATGCTTAGGTCAACAGCCTCAAGCTGAGCTGTCAGCTGCCAGCCATGTAAATGAGCCATTTTGGATGTTTCTGGCCAGTTGGGCCTCCAGATGACTACAGCCCCCCAACACCACTTTGGAGCAGAACTACCCTATAGAGCTCAGTGAATCACAGATCATGAGAGATAATCAAAAGCTGCGGTGGTGATTTTGTTTATATATACATATTTTTTTCCCTCTATTATTAATATCTTATCTCAGGACCTTTGTCACCATTAATGAACCAATACTGACACATTATTATTAGCTAAAATCCATACTTCATTCAGATTTTCTTAGTTCTTACCTAACATTCTTATTCTAATCCAGGATCTCACCTAGGATATTGTATTACATTTAGCCATGATGTCCCCTTAGACTCCTTTTGGCTGTGACAGTTTCTCAGACGTATCTTGTTTTCTCTTGACAGTTTCGAGGGTAGTCTTGGTCAGGTATTTTGTAGGACATCCCTCTATCAGGATCTATCTGATGTTTTTCTCATGATCAGAGTGGGACAACGGGTTTTGGGGAAGAAGACCACTGAGGAAAGGTACCATTTCAGCCCATCACATCAACGATATGTACTATAAAATGACTTATCCTGTCGATGTAGACCTTGACCATCTGGTTGAGATGCTGTTTGTCAGGTTTCCCCACTATGTGAAGCCACACTTAAGGAATGGGGACTTAGGCTCCACATCCTTGAGGGTGACATATCTACATAAATTATTTGGAATTCTTCTGCCAAAGAGATTGTGATAGTGGTTTTAAACCACTAATTTTTGGTGTGGTTTAATACACAGCAAGATATCTGAAATGCACTCAAATCTTTTCACCATCTCCTGTTAGACCTCACCATTTATATATGCAACATATGCCTCATTCTGCTTATAATGCCCTTCCCACCTCCACCCACCCAGTCACCAACAAACCAATAAAAATGAACAAAAACCCCTTATTTTTCCAACAAAACTCCAGTGTCACCTATCATGAAGCTTATCTAGAAGGAATTCTTTGCTTTGACCTAGCTCCTAATACCACACAGTTAATGCCACTATCATTGCCCTTATGGTATGGTTCCCTCCCTCAACTACACTACAAGTTCCCAACATGCAGAGACCCTGCCTTATGTAACTCTGCACGCCATACCTGGGATCATCAGCACATACCTGGTGTCCCATAAGTGTTTGTGAATTAAATAATTAACTGAATGACTATAAAGGTGTATTATTTTTTTAATAATACCTCAATTTAAAAGAATAAAAGAATAAAAAGAGACAGCATAAATAAACAGCTATAATCCAAGATGTGTCAGTAAATCTACAGTAGAACTGGAGACTACCTCGTGATGCACAGTTCCACTGTGCAATAGCTAGACCAGGCACTAAGAAAACCGATCACTGCATTTAGTGAGTCAAAGCCACACATAACAGACAAAATAGTTTCTGTTTTCAGATCAGTGTGAAAACACAGGCACATAAATACTAAATAAATTAGATCACACGAGTCTCCTTCTAAGGGAATCAGGCCAATGAAGTCCATATCCTCGCCTTTGGATTTCCTGATATGTCATCAAAGACTTTTTACAGAACATAATTTTCATATTTAACTTCTAAAGTGTAGAACAATGAGACAGAGATTCATGGGTAACTGTGTTAGTGCTATTCAATTTTCTCTTTTACATACACAGCAGGGAAATTAAATAAGCCCTGAAGTGGTCCTTGGGAAAAATATAAGGAATAGTCACTGTGTCTCCAAAGGATTCAAGGGCTTCTGAAGTTTTACATTAATACTAACTCTGTCAACTTGTCTTCCTTCAGTATTTACAATAGCAGCTTTCACTAAAACAGTAGAATGCTCTGCGAGAAAGTGATTAGGTCATACAAAACTGCATTCTAGTGACCAGGGGAAAAAAGCCCTCCCACAGAGAGTACCAGTAGCACTGGCAGCAGCAAAAAGACTCCCCTCAGGAAGGTCCAGGGCAGCAGACTGGGCACTGTCCAGGACACAGTGTGAGATACCCTTGGAGTGCTCAGGAAGGACTAGGGACAACTTTGAAAGGAGAGAGACATGAAGGTGACACTGAGGGTCCCAATATGACCAGGCAGAGAAAAAAGCCCAGGAGAGTCAGGACATGGAGCCAGATATAGAGATGTACATAAGCACACAGATAACAATTCATATACAGGGTTTGCCAATGGTTAACATTCATTCATGTCTTAGCTTGAAAACCCAAACCTAACAAATTACCGTTTAAAGATTTATAGTAAAAAATGTCTAAAAATTATTGATGACGTCTCTGTGCAGCAGGAATAAGGGACAGGCTTTTTACTTTTTACCTTACACACTTCTGACTCATTTTAATTTCTTAAAATAAGAATGTAGAACTTGCACAACAAAACATTAAAAGGTAAAGTGCTACCATTGCACAAATGAAGCATAAAGTTCTCTATGAGTTCAGTAAAATTTGTTTTAAATTGGTCATGGAGCACAACAAAAATGGCTATCAAGAAGAAAAAAAAATCTTCTCAACCTTAGGTTAGGTTTTAATTTAAATCAAGCTAGTTTCTAAATTCACCTAAAACAAAACACCCACTCTACTCACCCACTGCCTGTTTTTAATTTCTACCCAAAGTGTTTGCATCTTTAGTAATTCACTGACCTTGGAACTGCTTTCTTCCGACACTTCTCCCTCATTGGTTTGCATGGGAACAGACTCTGTGCAAAACTCTGCAGAAACACACAAATACTGCCTAAAAGAGGTAAGAGGAGAAAAAAAAGGAATTCAGTGCAAAAATAAGTTTTTCAAAGATTAGACTGAAACTGGATCACCAAGGAGGCAATGACCTTAAGTAATTGTGTGTGTGTGTGTGTGTGTGTGCGCGCGCGTGTGCGCACACACATCTTTGGTAAGAAGGGAAGGAGCGAGGTAGGAGGGAATTTTCCCTACCTTAGGGGAGGGCAGTTAGGAAAGGTTGAAGATATTGGGGTATTAAACAGTTCTAGATTTCTTTCTTCTTTTTTCTTGATTTTTGGCAGAGGTGACAGTGAAAATCTTCAGCAATTCATACAGTACAAACGGTGACCCGTCAGAAAGGATGCCCACCTATTTCAAGCAGTGGGCCAGTTGTTAGGCTGTAGCAGGTCATACTGCCTGCATATTACAATAGGCTATTGAAACTGGCTGGGTTTCCTGGGTTTATCATTTATGTTCAATATTTGTGGTATATTTTTTAACTGAAATTATGGTACACGCTAATGGTGGATCCCACTTTTTTGGGATCTTAATGAACTAAATATCAATTAATTTATTTTTACATGAGAACAGGCTGTCCTAGGGCAAAACAATAAAAAGTAGTAATTTTTCCTCTAAGAATAAAATGAATCAAGTTGGGTTAAAATTTTATGAATTAAAATGTACCAAAAGGAAACTTTACTAAAAGTGTATGTAACATTCAAATTTTCATTCAATACGTAATTCCTGAGGAATAATTACTCAAACTGACACAAAACAAATCTCCATCACATTACAGATAATCAATGTTTTAAAATCCTTCTAATATTTTATTTTATTTTTTAAAAGATTTTAAAGAAGCTTCTCCCTCTCCCACTCCCCCTGCTTGTGTTCCCTCTCTCACTGTGTTTCTCTCTGTCAAATAAATAAAAATCTTTAAAAAAAATATAAAAGGTTCATACCTACAAAATATAAAAGCTAAAAAGATGCTTGCCCCAGGATGTGTGTGTGCAGAGACTCTCTTTATAAATGCAGCAGCCTGGAGATAGGGTGTGGAAATCTGTTTCCTCATCTGCTGGGTGAGAGAGGAATATCAAAATATCTACTGTGCTCACCTAATGAGGTTTTTTGGGAACCAATGTGTATTTATGTGACATGAAATGTAAAATTGGTACAGTGGGAGCTCTGTTAATCAAGCCCCATTCACTCACTCCAGATGAACTGACACTGCCCATTCCCAGTGCGAAACAGATGCTCACCGCAAGGGAAACAGGCTTTCTCTAGCTGGTTTTGCCCCTCATCTGTTTATGACAGTTGTACAAAAATAAACTTGCTCTTTCTATGAAAATTAAATTGACAGCACTGGAAAAAGTCAGGAAGCTACCTAGAAGGATGTCGTATGCAAACTGCTTCACAAATGTCCTTAAGCTCTCATTCTACTTTACAGAAATAGAGACTGTATTTCACAAATGATGCATTATACGGACAGCAGACAGAGAAAGACGCCCCAATGATTTCTGTGCCATTTCCGTTTGAATGTGCTTGGAAAGAGGAACCTCCTTCACCTCTCCCGAGGTCTCCCTCCTGGCTCTTCTCCACATGTACAGGTTCCAACCTGGAGGATCCTTTCTGAATGGTGAGATTGGAGAAACAAGGCACGTGAGCTCAGCCCTTTTCTCTTCCTTTTGGAAGCCAGCTGTCCCCAGGGAGCATGCAATTTCCTCTGCTCTTGTTCCCCTAAGTGCAGGCCCCTCACAATTACCTGGGACTAGGTAAGCCTGTTGAATATTGAGTTCAGTGCTAGGAAGTTCACCTGCCTATAGATGTACACCATATTCTCCAATATAGCTTTATTAGTAACAGAGATGATACTTCGGTCTCTCAAATGCCCCACTCTTTTATTTCTCACTTGGTATAGAACTCAGCCAAGGGAAAAAGAGTGCTATTTATTGGGTCTCTCAAAGACCCTAATATCTGGTACGTGAGACTAAAGTTTTGATAAATACACAGGAAGGAAAATTTGGGGAGCAAAATGCATGTGGAATTTCTAAGGCTTCTGTTGGGGCAGGACTTTGGGCCTTGGTCTTTTTAACGAGGGAGCAACGTGTTTCAATCTTGTAGAGGTTTACATGAGGCCACATGCATTTTTACTGTCACACACCAGCTTTACACAATTAAGCCGAATTAGAAGTTTATAAACCACAGGCTACACTGTATTTTGACATTAGTGATGACTGTAGTTATGGTAACTTTGTCTTCAGGTAAGTGGCTGTTTCTATAGAGACAAGGCTGAATACACCAGGCACACAAGCCTTAGCAAAGGCTTGGGGGCTTTGCTGGCGACAGCAAGGAAAGAAGCCACAGTCTGTTGTGGTGGTGGTACTGAAGGCTCATCTAAATGTCAGCTGTGCAAGTGACCTCAGCATTCATCGGCCACTCTGGCCTAGCAAGCAAATGCCCGCTGTGCTGGCCTCAGCAAAGGGAACAGGGCATTAGCAGGCTTGGTTGGCTTCAAAGTACAGAAGGCTGCTGCCTGACCTTGAATTATGCAGGCACAGCTTTTCCTAAGCAGGCATGGCTGAGGCAAAAATTAGACTTTAGGGAAAAGAGACTTTCTTCATACAGGTCTTTTAGATATTAATGAGTAGAACAATTATTTGCTGCACATAAGCTGCAAGGCAGCTGAATTTCAAACGACACATGTGCTACAAAACCAGTGAAGTTCTATGTTTAAATTGTTTGTGCTCAGCTTACACAGGCAATCCAAACGGGAAATGGAAATTAAAGAGATGTCTCACTATACTCAAAGAAGGCAGGGAGGCAGGGAACTTATAGATGAAGGGAAAGAACTTGGTAACTGGGGCTGCCACTACTATAAATCCCTAAAAATTGCAAAAAGAAGGTGATACTTCAAGTATTAATCTTTAAAGCAGAAGACAGTGTACATTGGTTGGGTTTTTTTGAGATACGGTAAAGGCCCAGTTCCAAATTTAACCTCCTGCTGGCAGATTTTTCCAAATTGGGTGGAAGTGTCCAAGTCGTGGATTCTGTACACTGGCATGGGCTAACTGGATATCCTGGAGAGGCTCAAACCAAGAGGACCTCACCCATCCTCCCTCCCTCAGATAGCAACGTGGCAAGACTGAGTACAGCATTCTGAGAACCTACTTTTATCAGAAATTACTGCTCATGGGCAGGAGGTAGGCTTACTTTCTGAATCTGGTGGCTATGGGGACAGTGCTGAAACAATTTCGTATAGCCTTGGAGTTCATATAATTTATATACTGTTCTGATCTATTTTAGGATCTCCTGAAGGCATAATCTATTTTGCATATCAATTTTGCCCAAGAAAATATCCAAGAGAAGAGTGGGTGGTAGTGGGGGTTTGTCCTCTTAAAAGTGGGAGCAGGACTGTTCTGAGAACCCCTCTGTCCTAAAGGGGAACGACACACCCGACATGACCTGGATTACTACTTAAGACCAATGTGCCAGGAGACAGGAGTTCTTGTGTGTTAGGGGAGGAAAACTTGCCCACTCTCAATGCTTCCTTCCATGGGAGGCAATATCCCTTTACTACTATTGGCCTTATATTCCTGACATGCTGTCAGGATGAAGTGACTTGTCCGGTCAGCGAGTTTGGAAGGGGAAACTGGGCTTGCATAGTCCAGCACCCCCCGAGGCCCTTTCCTGTGGGGGCAACTATTCTGCTCTGCTCCTTCCTTCTAGAAGGCGGGTCTGTCCCTGACTAGTACTTCTGGGTGAGGAAACCTGTTAAGTTTCAGAGCTGAGTATTAGAAAGCTGACTTGCTTTTAGACACAAGCCCAGTTCTATGTCAACTTTATTAGTAATAAAAGTGAAAGTCTGATCTCCACCTGCTTTACTCCTTCATCCTATATGTCTGTGGTTCAGAACTTGCTCAGGGGAGAGAATGTTTTTTATCAGGTCCCCTTCAATTCCAGGTTATATCTGGAACGTCTCCTCTTCAGAATTAAGTTTTCTACATCGGTCTTATCTTCCCAATTATCCCATTGCCATAATACGAACAGCAGACTTTTTACTTTATAAACTTTTCAACGCTATTTCTAGCTACTCCCCATGCACACACTATCCCCCACTTCACACAGGCAAATCTTCTCTCTATTCTCTCCACACAATTTGCTAACTTAATTTCTTTTTCAAAAAATTTATTTAAATTCAATTTAACATATATTGTATTATTAGTTTCAAATTTAATTTCTATTTATGCAGTTCATACCCGATTTGAAAACCCTTCCCCTCACCACCAATCCACATCTCTATCCTTCTAATATCCAGTCAATTTTTATTTCTAAAAATCTTTCCTGACTAATACCATATAGTCTGCCCACTTACTATATGTCCTATCATACCTATTTTTCTATTTCTCCTTTCTTTAATTTGTCCTCATTTGTGTGTGTGTGGTTTTGGAACTATTCTTAATATTTTTTAAGGTGTTTCTTGAAAAAGCCTTGCTGACGTTCTTGTGAAGCCACGGCTTAGAGTTGTGTGTAAGGGTCTAAGTGAATTTTACTGCCCTTCTGACAAAATGGAAGGAGAATAAAGTAGGCCATGCAAAAGTATGTGGTTGAGCTAGGGGTTCCACTCGGGAAGTGACAAAGGGACCAGTGTATTAGTACTAAGAGAGTGATGATAAAGTCAAGGCAAAGTGCACTTATGTGAAAATTCACTGGAGGGGGCAAACAAGTGGTAGTAAAGCTGTCAAAGCTGACGTGACAACACAAGCATTTGATTTCTGCTCTGGCACATGATTTCACCTCAGAGCTGTCACCAGCTTGCCATATGTGGTTAAGTGACCACTGACCTGGTGTTGCTGCAGCACACACAGAACAGGACTCAACAAATGTTAACAACAAACATGAGTAAAACCATACATCATACCGCACGAATGCTCGGTCTTCTCTAAAAGCTGGCAAATAAGCTCTCCAGGATCTAGCCCTCACCTGTCTCTCCGGTGCCATCAGCCAGGTCTCTTTTTCCCTTTGCTCCAGTCATAATGAACTACTTACAGTTTCACAAATGTGCCAGATTATTTCCAGTTTCCATGTTTTTGTTCATACTACTCCTTCTACCTTTCCCTCCCCTGGGTGCCGCCAGAGAACACCCTACTCTCATCATTCAAGACTCTGCTTTTACAAAGTATTTCCTGATCCATCTCTAGGCAGAACTGGCGATTCTTCCCTCAGTGTCCCCAGCGGATCTTGTCTGAATTCTGTTATATGATCTGTAACGCTCTACTGGTTTTACTTGCTTACATAGAGGCTTCCCTTATGACACCGTCAACTTTTTGACACCAGACACTGTATCTTGTTAATGTCTGTATTCATCATTTATCTAAAACTGTATACCTGGCATTTCATAGTCAATAAATTTCTATGTAGGAATGACCGAATTCATCACCTAAAGTCCTTTTTATTTAAACTGCAATGGGTATCAATTCAATAGATACTTCCTGGGTCCCTACCACACACCAGATGGTGCTCGGCCAGAGTACTACAGTAGAACAAGTTTTGGCTTTGAAGGAGCAGAGTCATTCATAATTCTTTGTCAGTTATTAGCTGTGTAATCTTGGGCACTTAACATTCTAATCTTCATTATTTTCATCCGTAAAACTTGTCAGGAGGAGGTGTTACAAGGATTAAATGAAATAATATATGCATAGCACTCAGCAAGGTGTCCAGGAACAGCCAACAGGCACTAAAAAACCAGTTAGTTGCTTTCCAAGAAGTCTCAAAGGGTTTACAGACTGGTAAAGGAGACAGAGACAGATAACGCTAATGTAAAATACTGAATGCTTTATTATAGTCATAGTAACGGGTGCACCTAGAATACAGATGAGAAAGAAATTCTGCCAAGGTGGCCTGGGATACGAGAAAGAGCAGCGGATAGCTGCATTCTTCTCCCCTCTTCCAAACTCCAAGTGAAGAGAAAAGCATTGACCAAGGCACAAAGCCATGAAAAAGAACTATATATTTGGGAAATAGAAAACGGCCCGGTAGGGCTCACAACAGATAGGGGTGCACTAGAAAAGCAGCCCAAAGCATTGATTGGAATTAGGTTCTCAAGCAGTTTGTAGGTTGGCATCTGTAGCAACTGAGAGCCGCGAGAGCTGTTTGAGCAAAGGAGTGACATGAGTAAATATATCATTTTGAAAGCTAGTCCTGGCAGTAATGTGGACGATAGTCTGGAGTAAGGACAGACTAGAGGCAGAGAAACTAGGAATACGCTCACAGAAAACTGTGGAATTGCTAAACCCTAATAACAAATTCTAGCTTTATAAAAGGATGAGGCACCAAATGTCACTATCAATCATTTGGATTGATGTGCTTTTTAAAGGGACCTACTGAAGTAGAAATGCAAAGAGCTGATGTGATGGCCACTTTAAATACCCTCATGGAACAACTCGGGAAAGGAGCAATAACGTCAAAATGTACTCTTCTTCTTTTTAAGATGAAGACTCTCCCATTTCACTGCTAATACACGGTGTAATGAAATTTTAATAACTTACCTTTGACAGTATCCTGGGGCAACACAAGCCCGTGAAGATGAGTCTAGACTACATTCAGTGCAAAAAACCAAAACCCTGAAAAGAGAGAAAAATCACAGTGAGCTGCGTGCTCATAGTAAGATGCATGGGAAGCAGCGGGGCACAGTTCTGAATCGGGGAGCCTATTACAAATCCAGGCTCTTCCATCTACCAACTATTGACTGTTGGGCCAGTGGCCTAACCTCTCGAGACTTAGCTTCCTCATTCAACATTGAGAACAACAGCACCTTCCTCACAGGGTTCTTTGGAAGTTTAAATGGAATATGCATAAAACAGCATAGGGCAGGGCACCAATCACATGCTCAATAAAGGTGAGTGGTTATTAAGAATGTGAACTGAGGGGCACCTGGATGGCTCAGTCAGTTGAACCTCTGACTCGATTTTAGCTCAGGTCATGATCTCAGGGTTGTGGGATCCAGCTCAGGTCATGATCTCAGGGTTGGGAGGCTCCACGCTCAGTGCTGAGTCGGCTTGAGATTCTCCCTCTCCCTCTCCCTCCCCATGCTGGAGCTTTCTCTAAATCAATCTGAAAAAATACCCAGTGTGAACTGAAATACCTTCTGAAGAAACACTAAAACCTATATTAAACCTTTATTATTGATTTTACCTTATCTGTTCTACCAGAAAAATGCCAAGTTGCCTTTTCAGCTTCTCCATTTGACATGAGGATATCTCATGATCACTTCAGATTCAACGCATCCCAAACAGTACTCTTCATCCCCTGCCCAGATCTCATTATCCTGTCTCCACTGTCTTATCAAGGGCACCATCTTCTGCCCAGTTGCTTGGGTCAGAACCTCGGGTTCATCCTGGATTTCTCACCCTATCCCAGGCCTCCCACAGCCCCATTAGCAATCCTGTCATTTCTGATTCACAGCATGTGAATTCTTCACTTCCATTGCCATTATCACTCCTTGCTAGTGGAGGCCCCTTAGCTAGTCTCCTGCCCCAATTCTTGCTCCTCCCCAGTCTGTTCCCAAATAATGGCTGGAATGGCCTCTTCAAAATCAAACCGGATCATAGCAAGTTGCTAATAGACACAGTGAAAATTTTATTTATTTCATGATGGAATGTCTCTCTCTTTATATATATGAAATACATACTTACATATGTGAACATACAGATATACAAATATATATGAAATGAAAGCCACTTAATATTAGACATTTAAAGGTCCCAAGCCAGTCCCTTCAATTTACAGTGGCAGAAACAAATGCCAGAAGGAGATCCTGCTCAAGGTTGGACCTCTGTGTGTGTGCAAAAGTGGTCAAAACAATGCTGGACAAGCCCTACAGAAACTCATCTGTGATTAGCATCCGCACTGCTGTCAGAATGCCTGTCACTATTTGGAAGTTGGGCCCTTAGTTTCACAATCAACTTAATGTGTCTGTCCAAGAAAGCGCATTCCATTCCCCACAGCTGCAGATTCTGAGTTATAGCTTTAGTTCTACATCATGTCTTAGTGTTTGAGGGGGTGCTTCAGGGAATCTTGAAAGCATCTTGCTGCTCTCTTATCTGTCATCACCTCTCCCCTTGCTTATTTTTTTAACAGCGTTTGAATAAATAAATCTCAGATGGAATTACACTATGATGAGTATTAGTGATATTTTAATTATTATCCCTATCCTCGTACTATACACACCGTTGTCCCAGCCATTTTCCTTTTTAAAAAGCAAATGTGACCTCTGAGTAGATTGCTGCTAAGATTCAGTCAATAATTACCCACTACCTTTAGGGTAAAATTCAAGATCTCTCTAGCCCCATCATCACTTCATAGCCTTCTCATGGGGACTGCGCGTGGTTTCCTTGCCCAAAATACATGCACTGATGTCTGCTGAGGGCCCTTGGCTTAATTCCCGTCTACTCCTCTTGTAAGATCTGCCTCAGGAATTATCTCCTGAAAGTTTTCTGTACCCTCCTTGGCTGCACTAAGTGTCCCTCCTCTGAGATATACCATATAATATTGGTAGTGTCTGAGGGTCTGCTGTCTACACTCAATGGAGGATTCTTGACAAGGGCTCCCTGACAACAAGGGCTCTCTGTGTCTTACATACCTAGAATTTGGTATCCAGCAGGAGTTCAATAAACAAGATGAACTGAATCCTGACATGCTCCCGATAACTCGGTACTTCAGTGTGGAGCCTTCCCCACTTAAATGGCACGAGGGAAAGCTGAAAAGCTGGCTGGAACTTCCCAGATGGGTCTGGCCATCATGAAGAATGTAAGCTATGTGGTTATGTGTGACCCTCAGCACCTTGGAGAAAGATTCAATTCTTTCATTTTTTGTCACCTGCAGATCATCAAGAGAATAACCCTAACTAATTTTCAGTTCTCTATTCTGATTAGTTTCTGCCCAGGCTAAACATGACTTCTCTAGACTTACCAGTGGTCTAAATTCTGTACCAACTTCATAAAGTAGCCCATCATTATATAACTTGTTAATAGATAGGCTTGGAAGGACACAGTGGCCAGCTCAGTCCTTTGCCTGCTTGGCAGGTGGGCTCAGACACTTGCCTGGGTTCAGTGAGGGGAAAAGGAGTTGAAGCAGAGGAGGGGCAGGCGAAGGAAAGTGGGCAGTTTCAAGCACTCTGGAAACCAGTTTTTACAGAACAGCTTCCCTAGTTTCTCTGCAGGGCTGTGAACCTCTGTTATCAGATGCACTTGTACTCAAGATAAACATAACATTTGATTCTAAAATCAACATTTGGAATTATCTAGTTGAAGTTATCCACAGCACTATTTTCCTTCTAACGTATGAGTAATGGCAAATTCCTTCAAAACATCATTTTGAAATGTTCTGTAATCCTACTATCTGATCGTATATAACCACAGCAGTAAACTATTTGAAGCATTCCAGTTTTCTCTGTTCTCTTGCAGAGTAGTAACCAGACTGGGCTTGAGATTCACACGCGGTTGGGAAGGTTTCGTGGGTCTTGGACTAAATCACTACTAGGCCCTGCTAAACTGCAAGGAGACCTCAAGAGCTCCTCCAAGCCCGGTACGTAATCTAACTCATGGGATGTAATCAGACCTACATCTTTCCTAGGGAATATGGCAAGTTGAAAGAAGGACATTTCCAATAAATTATATTCACTTTACTACTCTAATATGGCATGGTTTTAATTTTCAAACTTCATTATTCAGCCTGATATTTTTAGGCTTAATTTTAATTCTCATTTTAAAAAATTCAAGTGATACGATAAGGCCCTTCATCACGGTCCCCTCTCCCCCTACCCTCACCCAGGACTCACCACTGTTATCAGTTTAATTTCCAGGCATAATTCTGGGATGCAGACTATTAAGAATATACAGTTCAGGGGCGCCTGTTGGTTGAGTGTCTGACTCTTGGTTTCAGCTCAGGTCATGATCTGGGGGTCGTGGATCGAGCCCTGCATTGGGCTCCAGATTCAGTAGGGAATCTGCTTGGGATTCTCTCTGTCTCTCTCTCCCCCTCTGCCCCACCCCCTACCTTGCTCACGCACGCATGCTCTCTCTCTAAAATAACAGAATAAATCTTAAAAAAAAAAAAAAGAGGGACGCCTGGGTGGCTCAGTTGGTTAAGCATCTGCCTTTGGCTCAGGTCATGATCCCAGGGTCCTGGGATGGAGTCCCACATCGGGTTCCTTGCTCAGCAGGGAGTCTGCTTCTCCCTCTGCCTGCCACTCCCCCTGCTTGCGCTCTCTCTCTGACAAATAAATAAAATATTAAAAAAAAAAAAGAATACACAGCTCATCCTTGAACAACATGGGTTTGAACTGTGTGGGCTCATTTCTATGCAGATTTTTTTACAGGACAGTTCTATAATTGCATTTTTTTCTTATGATTTTCTTAAGAACATTTTCTTTTCCCTAGCTTACTTTATTGTAAGAATGCAGTATGTAATACATATAAAATGCAAAATATGTGTTAATCGACTGCTTATTTATTAGTAAGGCTTCCAGTCAACAATAGACTATTAGTTAAGTTTTTGGGGAATTCAAAGTTATACACAGATTTTCGGCTGCACAGGGGGTCAGGCACCCCTAACCCCTGCGTTGCTCAGGGGTCAAGCATATTGTAAACTTTTAACTGAGTCACAAGTAACACTGAAAGCCCTGACTGCTTACATCATTGGCAACTGGCCTGACTTCAAGCAAGATGTCCAGAAGAGGCATCTCAAGCGAAGCAGCAGATGTGAGGTGGAGCAGAACACCAGCAAGGGAGCCTTTGCAGGAGGTGAGCACAGATGCCAGGAGAATCAGGGCAGACAGGAGGGTACCGCACATCCAGCTCTATAAGTGGGGTGCCCAGCCCAAGTGGGCAAGAAGGAACCTATTTAAGTAATACAAATAATAATATCGAAAGCCCAAGCAACAGAGGTGGAGGTAACTTTGCTACAGGCAGATGGGTATATTTAGCTGCCAATACAAAAGCGTTATGATTGTTCCAGGATCTGGAAATGTTACCTGTGCAGTTTCAGGTCACCTCTACTTAAGTTCAACACTTTGGAAGTTCTATAAAATGTTCCAGTCTGCACATTCCAAAAACCATCTCCTTTAATCCTAAAATCTCCTCTAGTTTTTGTGCCCTCCTTCCCCTTTCCTCTTCTAGTCAAGTTTCTTCAAAAAGAAGTTTATGTTTGTGGTCACAACGCCCTTACCTCTCATTCACTTATTAATCATTGCAACATGATATCTTTCCCTATCAATCCCATTATCAAATACAATGGCTATTATTCATCTGTTTTGTTTTAACCTCTCTTCCACATTTAAAAATCAGAATGACCTGAAAGTCTTATCATTTGGGTGCTCCTTTCCTATTTTGCTATCAAGGATACTGTAGATCCAGGGGCACCTGGCTGGCTCAGTCGATGGAGCATATGACTCTTGATCCCAGGGTTGTGAGTTTGAGCTCCGTGTTGGATGTAGAGATTACTTAAAAAATAAAAGTAAAAAAAGATACTGCAGATCCAGTCACTGAGCCAGAGGTACCTTGTTTTAGTTGCCGGTCTTTTAGCTGTGTCTAGGTCCTCCTATCTCCCTGGGTTTGCAGCCAGCCCAAGGCCTTTGTCAATGCTGTTGATTTTCAGATTCACAAACGAGCAGAATGGTGCTGGGTGAGGAGCTACTGCCTCTGTACATGGGGGACAGGGAGACATGGGTTGCGGTGAGGGAACCAAACTCAACTCCTGGCCTCAAGGATTGAGTCTAGTTCTGATCCCCAAACTGTCATGGATCATGTCTAGTCCCTTTACCCCACAGAAGGAGCCAAATTCATTACTTGTGCCACCTCTTAGACCATTTCTTTGTAGACTCTTAACTGGAGAATCTTTTTCTGCTTGTCCTTTCATTACTGGTATGTTCCTTGGGAGTCACACCCTTCCCTTTCTCTTTTTACTATACACACACATCCTTATCTTCCCCCATAGATTCAACTATTATCCATGTCTTGATGACTCCCAAATCTAATACTGATCGTTCCTACAATCTTCAAAACTTCTATAAACTGCCTAATGTCAATGCACTTTGCCTCATGTTCCACAGGTCCCTAAAATGCAACATATCTAAAACCAAATAGTCTTCCCTCAAACTGTGTTCTTCTCCTTCTGCCTCACTTGGGAATACTATTGTCCCACTCAAATAAAAAATCTGGCACCATCATCAGTATCTTCCTCTCACCAAACTCTGTCAGTTCTAATCCCCAAATATTTCAGGATGTACTTTCTTCCCTATTCCTATAGCCACTGCTTTCTTTAGTTCCGGTAGTTTCTCACTAAATTTATTCCATTTTTTTTCCACTGGTTTTCTTACCCTCAAGACCTTCCTACCCCCACTGCCATCAGAATTGCCTTTATAAAGTACAATCCCACACAGCCTTTGCTCCATCCATCTTCAAGATAAAATCCAATTCTCACTACATGGTGTATAAAGCCCAGTACCTGTTCACTTCTCAACTTCGTCTCACAAAGTCACATTGTTTTCAGTTTTCCTTAAACACCACATGGCTTCATGTGCCAGTGACTTTGAATATGCTATTTCTACTTGGACTACCTTCCTACTCACAGGGCAAATTTCTTCCCAACCTTCAAGATGCAGGTGTAGGGAAACCTTTTCTATGAAGGCTTTCTTAATGCCACACTCTTGCCACAGGTGGTCTGGATGGGTCCTTCCTCTGAGTTAGTGACTATACTTGGTATATATTTCCACCAGGCTCGTTTATGTTGTACAGACTACTGGAGGCAGCATCTAAATCTTATTTACTACTGTGTCATCAGCATTTAAACAGCGCTAGTGCAAAGGACAGGCCTCTCAGGGCAGAGTGCCACTTGTGTGGGACCCCCAGACTTCCAGAGAGAAGCTGTGAAGGAAACTCTGGGACTGATAGCAGGTCCCTGGCACAAAGATGTTACATTTATTCATGTACCCTGTAAGTCAAGGATGGTTGCCTAAGAAAAACAAACTCAGTCTGAAGCAGGGATGAAGGAAAGGGTATTGCTCACTTTCAGCTACTTAACCAGTTTGGTCAACTAATGCCTTCTAGCTTAGTCCAAGATGACCTAAGGGCTTCAGCAAGTACCTTCTGAAGACCAAAACATAAGCGCAAACCACTTGGAGGTGGGGGTGGGGATCACAGGGAATGATGACTGCTGGCTACAGGAACAGCAGAGGCAGCTACTGAAACAGCAGAGTCAACTCGGCCAACTTTACTGCTTACTAAGCGCCCAGCATGATGCTCACGTTTTCAGAGCAAGGGCCCATGGCCAGATTTTACTGCCATTGTTGGTCACATAAGAATTAAACAGATTAACATGTTCAGCTTTTGTACCCAATTTATTAATGACTCATGATCAAAAACCTTTATTCTTTTTCCATATTGTATATTAATTTTATGTAGGCTTTTTTTTAATCAAATAGCTATTTCTATTAAAGTTCACAAAATTATAAATGCATATTGGTTCACCCATAAAACCAGTGAGTTAGGGAAATTTTAATATTTATATTGAAGATGGTAACAGTATGAATAACCATTAACCAATAACCACCATTTATGCTGTGCTCAGCAATGTACATCATGGACACCTCAAAAAACTCTCATTTAACAGATGATCCCTGTCCTCAGAGGTCTTAACAC